GGAACAGAGGAGCCCGCCGATTGCGGCTCCGAATCAGGAACAGAGGAGCCCGCCGATTGCGGCTCCGGATCAGGGACAGAGGAGCCCGCCGATTGCGGCTCCGGGTCAGGAACAGAGGAGCCCGCCGATTGCGGCTCCGGGTCAGGAACAGAGGAGCCCGCCGATTGCGGCTCCGGGTCAGGAACAGAGGAGCCCACAGACTGCGGCTCCAGATCAGGAACAGAGGAGACCACCGACTGTGGCCACGAATCAGGAACGGAGGAGACCACCGACTGTGGCTCCAAATCTAGCATGGAGGAAACCGCCCACGGCGGCACAGGTTCAGTCTCTGAGGTGGCTTGAAGTGCCCGCAGAGGGCTCTTGGAAGTTAGGAGCGCCTGCAGAGAGGCCCTAGGAGGCGTAATACCACATACCCCGAATTCTGACACCTCTTTAAAAATCTGATGCGAATACTGAAACTGGAGAAACTGGGTGACTGACGGATTCGAAAACTAAAGTAAACGGTTTGCTAACTGGTTCTGAGGCTAATGAAACCGGATCACTTCCGGGTCCTTAAGCTAGGGAAACTGGATGGCTAACGAGTGCTGGAGCTGGGGAAAACGGAATGCTGGCTGACTCAGAGGCTAGAAAAACAGGTTTGCTAACAGGTTCTGAACCGGGAACTGACTGGCGGGGAGCTTTGACTGTTTGGTGTTCTATTAGTGGACCTAATTTGAGTTTTCTAACTGAGGATGCTAACTGTTTATCAGAAAGGTGACTGCTGAGACGGACGGAACTGACCTATCGAGGATGTGGACTGCTTACTGCTGCTGGATGACTACAGGGAGGATGGAGGTGTCAGGCTGAGCCGCCGGAGAGCAGGTGGCCCTCTTCCCCCGGCTGCGATTTCTACGCCCGGAGGAGGCAGAAGGCAGGGACGGAACAGCAGCTGCAGGAGGTTTGGATTCTGAGGTAGGGTGAGACTGTTTAAATGATAGTTTTAAAAAAGCGTCCTGAATATACCAATTGATGAGATCTAGGTATCCGGCTAGTTGAAGGTCATTGTTAAGATCTGGATATTTCTTGAGTTCAGATATTATTGTATCGGCTGCAGATATCCGTTCACGGGGTGGAGTAATGGTGGGAAGATCTTCAATGGATTGTTTGAAAAATCGGAGAACTCGACTGAAGGAGTCTGAGGGTGCTTCCGCGGGGCTAGTTTGTTGGCCAGAGTGTTCTGTCATGATGGGTAAAGGTTTCTAGCCCATATGCAGAACACACTCTGAGACTTGGAAAAAGTTCAAAGGTTTATTTATTATTTAGAACAGAGCAGGCCAGGATGTCATCAGGTCCAGGGCTGGTCACGGCTGGGTTGCTGACCTGGAGCTGAGCAGAGCAGCAGAGGGGAATAATCCAAGGAGGGTTCAGAGGCTGGCGGCAGACTGAGGGCTTGGAGGAGGCTTGGCTTGGCTGAGGCTTGTAGATCTCCAGGTTTGGGTTCAGAGGCAGACGGCAGGCTGAGGGCTGAGGTTTGAGCTGAGCAGGCAGAAGGAGGGAACCAGAAGGGTTCAAAGGCAGACGGCAGGCTGAGGGCTGAGGTTTGAGCTGAGCAGGCCGAAGGAGGGAACCAGGAGGGTTCAGAGGCAGACGGCAGGCTGAGGGCTGAGGCTTGGTTCTCCTGGGTTCTGCTGTGATCAGGCAGACCAATTTTCGGCAGAGAAAACTCTTCCGGGGGTTTTGGTTGCAGGCAGGTTCAACCTGAGAAGCAGAGAAGACAAAGGATCAGGTTCAGGCTCAGATCTCGCAGACAGGAGACAGGACTTACTGGTTGGCTCAGGGTTTGATGTACCATGATTGACTAACACTCTGGCACCGGAGTGTGGTCCTCAGCCTACTTAAGTACTGGTCTCCTGATGAGCAGATGAAGAACAGCTGGTGAAGTCAGCTCTAGCCTCAGGAGATCCAGTACGCCCTCTGGTGGAGAAAGGTAGACAGGAAACCCCAGATCCCAACAGTAACAGAAAAAATCCCCAGGAAGGGATCCTCGGCGCCCTCTAGTGGGCAAGCCTCAGGATCCCAACATTTTTAGTGGCAGTAGAAACAGCAGACTGACCCATGTTGACCCAGGTTAAATGACTCTGTGAGCGAATCAGGTTAAAATCCCTTTCAAACGGCTCAACTCCAATCAGCATATAGTGGGAACAACAGACCTGTGTGAACATGCTATTTCACATGTAGCCCTGGATTGCGTATGTAAATCACAACATCGGACCAGCTGAGTCTGATTTAGGAAAGCCAAAACAAATCTGCTTGCATTGGATAAACATGCTGCAGCACTGGAAAGAGAGATTGGACGGACAAAAAAGCAAAACAATAAAGCACACTGACTACGCACCGGCTACCTCTCCATTGTTTTCTTTTCTGATTTCTGTTCATCTGATGACATCATCAACGTTAACCCAGAGTGATGTCATTACAGACACACAGCAGTGGGGGACCGAGATGACACAGCTTGCCAGCTGGGGGTTAGAACCGGCTTTTTTGCCATATGTCAATTGTTAGTGGGTCGACTTCAGGTTTGAAAAACCCACGTTAACGTGCTAATTTCAGACGGAAAGAAGCTATAGAGTTTACAGATGTTATGGGCTCAACAAAAACAGAAAATATTTGGCCTATTTGGGGCTGCTTCTTCAAAAATTATTGCTGCCTTTAGGCAAATTTCAAAAATATTAAAAAGCAGATTTGTGTGCATTTGAGGTGAAAACATTAAACTCTGTTGATTTTGGGATGGGTTGCGGGGCAGCGCTGACACCTAGACTTCCCTCTTCCAAGAAAAATCTTCTCATTCCACATTATAAAAGAGACCTAAACAAGTAAGATTACAAAAAACCTATCATACTCTGTAAGATTTCTGATTTTTTTATGCTAAAATAAAAAAGCATGTGCGTCAATACCTGTGTCACACGTAGTTAAACTTCCCTAATCTGATTGTTTCTCGAATTTATTTATTTTATTTTTTTTTACATTTTACAGTATTCAGCATTCAATCCTACCCTGGAGAAAATAGAAATCTCGATAAGTAATTTTTTTCTTAGAATAAGTGCATTTGTTCTTGGATTGAAAAGAGACATTTTGTCAATGGAACAAGACAATAAAAAAAAAACACTTTTCTAAGGCTCAGACCCACATGCAGTGAAGCCAAACAGAGAGACACAGAGTAACAGTTCAACGGGTTTTATTGAAGAGTATTTTGAGTTTGTTGCAGAGTTCCTCCGAACTCTGCTCGGCCGGGAACTGGAAGACGAGGGGAAGACAGACTGTTAGATTCAGGCTCAGTGGGAAATTGGAGTTATTAATCTTGAAGGAGGGGATTTGTTGCCACTCACGTTTCCAGAGAAGAAGAGACATGTAGACTTCAGTCTGTGTGTTGGTCTTCCAGAGTTTGTTTGATTTGGTGGAGGGCGGAACAGGGTTTACCCAGAACTCGGACGGAGTGGAAAGATGCAGCCGCTGGTTGCAACTCAGTTTTCCTGTGGTACTTGAATGGGTCGTGGTGAAGATGATTTCCTTACTCGGAGAGAGATCTCAGTGTGTTCAAAGATGGCTGGATCCAAACCTCCTGTTTGGAATCCGTCGCTCAGTGTAAGACTCAGTTGATCCCACTTGGGAGAAAGCGGTCCGAAAAGGTCCAGTTTGCAGGAAAGCTTCCAGCCGAAATGCAAAGAACAAACAAAGTTTAGTCTCAGAGAAAAACGAGCGCTCAGTAAAACTCAATGTGATCTCAGCTTGTCTAGAGAACGAAAGCTCAGGATACAAAAACTCAAATTAGACTTAGAATAACAAAGTTGGCTAGAGTACCCCAAACTGGCAAAAGCGTCAAAGTAGAGGCAACCAGCAGCTTAAAGCTACAGCGTGTAATTTTCAGCGACATCTAGCGTTCAGACTGCAGACCGCAGCAACATGAACATCTCCCCCCCACCGCTTCTCCCCCCCAACAGTACGGCGAGCGTGACGGGACAAAATGTCTTCCACGACGTCCGCATCACCTACCTTCTCAAGTGATGAGGTTTGTTTACATAGATAATTTTACAGATATTATTTCTTTAGTCTGTGTGTTCAGTACCGTCTCAGTTCATCTCTCTCAACTTGCCGTAGTTACTTTCGAGCGTAATGGGCGATCTCGCAATCGCTAGTTTGTTGGCTCTGCGCTGCCGTAGCGCAAACATGTCTGCCTCCATGGCTGCGAGACCCGCTCCTATGTAATTATAAATAACCAATTCTAAGGCAACGCAAATATTGAGGTTAAGAGGCTGAGCTCGTAGATGATGATAAATAACATAGTTATGTATAATATATTACATTTCTGACTGTATATCCCTGTAATTATTACACACTGTAGCTTTAAGAGTAGTCTGGTGATGAGGTAACCGTTTGCAGGTGTTTGAGGAGGCGAGCCAGAGCCAGGCGCCTCCTGGTGGTGGAAGGGAGAACACAAAAGACAAGACAAACAGACGAACACAAAACTGGGATCCTGAAAATTTCAAGTGATTTTTTTTTTTATCTTAATATCTTATTTTAAGAGTAAAAATACTAATTCCATTGGCAAACTATCCCATTTACCTACTCAAATTAAGGGAAATACACTTAATTTAAGACATGTTTACTTACTTCTAGATCGTTTTTCCAGTGTATGTACACATACTACTCTTGGGTGTTTATAAATTAAAGTGGTTTAAAGATGCTTATATGATCAAGATACCATGTGGAACAGTTTTGGTGGTTCTGTTTTTGTTGTAACAGTAGCCATATGCAAACTGAAAAATAAAAGAAAAAAACGCTGTTACTTTCTAGATTACGAAACTCCGACTTCCCATTTCTAAGTGTTAGTTAGATGTAACACAGCTAGATGTTTGCATAAGGGCAGAGAAGCAGTCCTTTGACAATTGTGCCAGCATGGGGGAGAAGGACAGAGCTCAAGACAAATAAAAGCAGCAGAATAACCGGAATTAAAGCTCACTTCAGATGAACTCACAGGGTCATCCTCTCAGTGTCCTGAAATGTCTTCTTGATTTCTCTGAATAAGATATTTGAGTGTGGTGAGTGGTGTCTGTTTCTTATTTAGCTGAATAATGTTTTGCTTTGTGTTTTTATTATATTTACCACAACCTATGATGAGAATGTCTGACAGTTTCTCCTGAACCCTGTGTGACATTTTCTTTTCAGACAAACAAAAGCAGATGATGGTGAACTCAACACTGGCTCCATATTTGATTCTGGGGGCTTACCTTGACATCAAGCAGTTCAAGTATTTACTGTTCCTGATTATCCTTTGTTTGTATATGTTCATAGTTGCCTCTAATGTTCTGCTCAGTGTGGTTATTGCTGTTAACAGGAGCTTACATGAACCTATGTACATCCTCCTCTTCGTCATGTTTGTTAATCAGCTCTTTGGCAGTACAAGCTTGTTTCCATTCCTATTGGTTCAGATCCTGTCTGATGTTCACACTATTTCTGTGCCACTCTGTTTCCTGCAGGTTTACTGTCTTCACATTTATGGAAGCGTAGAGTACTTTACTCTCACTATCATGTCCTATGACAGATATCTGGCCATCTGTTATCCTCTGCAGTACCACTCCCGGATGACAAATAGGAAAGTTGCAGCTTTAATTGTTTTAGAATGGGTATCCTCCTGTGTCATAGTCAGTATTTACACGTCCATGAGCTACTCTCTAGACCACTGTAAAAATGTCCTTAATAGAGTCTACTGTAACAACTACTCCCTTGTTCAGCTGACTTGTTCAGACACGACGATCAATAACATTTATGGACTGATCAGCACTGTTTTTTCAGTGTGTCTTCCAGTTATTTTAATTATCTACACCTACATGAGGATCCTTAAGGTGTGTTACAGTGGATCCAAAGCGACCCGACAGAAGGCAGTCAGTACCTGCACTCCTCACCTGGCCTCTCTGCTCAACTTCACACTTGGAGTTTGGCTAGAAATTTTGCAGAGCAGGTTACAATGGAGCCATGCTCCAAAGATTTTAGAAATATTTTTATCTATTTATTTTCTAATATGTCAGCCACTGTTTAACCCTCTGGTGTATGGACTAAAGCTGTCAAAAATACGCAACTTGTGGAAACAATTGCTTTCTTTTAAATGAACATCAGGTGATCATTTTCATTGTTTGGAGTCTGATACTTTAGGTGAATTAAAAATTAAAATATGGACATTTTGTTTCAGAAAGTGAGCTTATACTAGTTTGAGTTGAGAACAAATATCCAAAGTAAACCTATCTGGTTCTGTTATACAGGGCCAGCCCAAACCTCCACAGGGCCCTGAGCAAATTTTTATTTTGGGGTCCTCTGTTTCTGCAAATAGTATTATGGTTTCAATCAACAGTCGGATGATCAAATCATTCATACACCTACAATAAACTTTTTGTATCTCTGGAAAAAATGTTTACTATCTCCTATTTGTATGCATCATCTAGTGTTACCAAACGTAATAATATAAACTAGTCAGCAGTTTATTTACAGTTAAAGTGTAACGTGAATTTTATGCTTTTTGCTTCCAACTGCAAAAGCAATGTGAAAAATAACCAACACTGCAAGAAAAATAAAACATTTAAATGGCTTTGGTGAATATAATTAAGAAATTGTTCGGTTTTTCTGCATTTGGGTCTGAACTTTGTAACAACATGACAATTACTCTGTAAAAAAACATGAACAAAACTATAGAAATTCAAGAATCTTCCTAAATAAAGGAAATAAAGGAAAAAGTTACCTGAAACCAGGTAGCACAATAAATAGTTCTTAAAATTCTGTAAATGTATGTAACTATATGCAAAACCATAACTTTACCTAGATATAACCAGTGGCGGATCTAGGGGGTGGCTACTTGGGCTACAGCCCCGGATGTTTAAAAGAGCCCCAGATCTTGCTTCTGAGCTTATCTGAGTAAAATGTGCAGTACTGGAATACACTAGATAGTAGCAGCAAGCGAAGGAAAACAGCCTGTAGCATTCCCGTGCAGAAGAAGTTGTCACCACTAGTTGTTGCTACAGTAACAGACTGATATCCTAGGGATGTGAAGCTCCGACTTCAAGACGTTCTTTGTGCCGGTGTTATATGAAATTCTGTTCCCCTTGTGTCGGGAGCGGGCTTTGAAGCCAGAGGGGCGGACATGGCGGATGGGACAATTTTCACTGCGCTTCTGATCGATTTCTCGATAAAAACAGCTCATATTATCATGTCAAGATTGTAACATCCAGTTTCATCAGCAGCTGCTATTTACTAAATTTTAAAATAAATAAAAAATAAATAGACAAGGTCCTTTTTATGCTTTTCTGTGTTGTTCTTTTTTAAATTCCAAGAGAATCTGTCTTTTTCCAACCTTTGTCTCTGAAGCCTGACAGAAATAAAGGTCAGTCACCAAACACAGTTTTCCAACATGTAGTGAGTATTTATAAGTTTTCATCGGTGATATAAGAGGATGGACACTGGCTGATAGCAGGGCACAAAAATGAAGAATTCCTGAAAATATGAGAGTGTAGACTTTCTGGTAAATCCTGTTTTAATGTAAAATATGAGAGATTACTGGATTAATGAAACTACCTGCCATCACACATAACAATTTTTGAGAATGTGGAAACAGTTGCTCTTTATTTCCCAAAGATATGGGAGGAGGAGAGGAGAGAATTGATATTTCAGCTAAAATAATCCATTACCCCTCCATAACATGGGAATAAATTAATTCACCTGCAAGTCTTAACTGTGTTAAATCAACAACAAACCCTGTGGATATGGTGACATTTGATCATTATTTGCCAGAGGTTTTAGAGGAAAATCATATATTTTAGCCACCTGATATTATCCATTCCACTTTGATGATCTATATTAAATGCATTTTCTGTTTAAATGTTTATCTAACAATTTACAAACATTCGGGGAAAAAAGTTCAAACCAAAACCACTGGTCTTTGTTTTCCAAGTTTGAAGATGTTTCTCTTTCCACCCAGAAAGATTTCACAATTCAAAATGTCTGGAGCAATGCTACTCCAGACATTTTGAATTGAGAATTGTTAACACATTTCATGAAGATCAACAAACCAATAGTCGTATAAGCTTTTGGATTTCAAAATATAAAATAATAAATGTCTCAAACATAATACAGATAAATGATAACAGTTTCAAAATTCACACGATTATATCAGGTGGCTAAAATATTGTATTTCCCCCTCATAACTGTGGAAAATCAAATGTCCCCAAATCCACAGTTTGTCTTTGATAAGGAGGAATAAACACAGTTAAAAACTTGCAGATACCTTTATTTAATACCATGTTATGGAGGGGGAACTGATTATTTCAGTCAGCTAAAATATATGGTTCCCGCTCATAACTCTGGAAAATAAGGAACAAAAATATTGTCCTAGAATCCTAGATCCTGCCCTGCATATAACCTTTATATGTTACACTGTTTTCCTCAATGGTCCATTCACTGATCAAACCCGTGGTTCCAGCTTCTCTGTTTGCAAAGTCACTGAGGTAATCACTGTTAAAGATCTGAAAAAGAACTTTGTTGTGCTGTCTGCCTTGTCTAAATGACAGTGGGTTTGTTGAACCACTCCACAACAATAAGTAATCTGCAGTGGGTCCTGAAAGCTGCATGTTTGCTGAGGAAGACCTTCATAACGTGGGATGTCAATTCAACAGGTCTATAGTCACTGAGGAGTTTTGTCCGAGTCTTCCATTTCACTGGAACTGTCTCCTGGGTCAGACTAAGATTCAAGAGGAGCTGTAAAAAAGCCACAGAGCTGCTCTGCACAACTAGTCCTGTAGAACCAAGCTTCTCACCTTATCTCTAAGGGAATGCCCAGCCACCTGGTGGAGAAAGCTCATTTCAGACACTTGTATCTGCAATATAGTTTTTTTTGGTCATGATCTAGATTTTTGGATCACAGGTAAGGGTAGGAACGTGGATTGACCAGTAAATCGAGAGCTTTGCCTTTTCATTCTCATTCTTCACCACAAAATCTTGTGCAGCTTCTGCATTATAGCCACACTGAATGTCTATCACTCAGGCTCCACTCTCACCTCTCTTGCAAACAGAACCACAAAATACTTGAACGATGATCCTCTCTGCAGTTCTCACTACCCTTCTCACCTTCTTCCAGTCTGAGGCGCTGCAGCCTCCATACCACCAAATGAGACTCGTCAGAATGCTCTATATGACACTTCTATAAAAGGTTTTGGGAATGGGTAGGGGCAGGTGGGCTCTCCTCATCCTCCTCAGGAAGTACAAGTGCCTTTGTGCCCTTTTGATAATATATCAATACAAAAAAAGACCTGACTAAAAACTGAACCATTTTTGACTGACTCATTTTTTTAAACTGGCTTTTAATACTTGGGACACATTGTTTTATCTTTATGATTTTATGTATTTATTTTATTTATTTTTTATTTTTTGCAATGTTTTTATCTTTTTGTGAAGCACTTTGGTCTTCCTGGTGTTGTAAAGTGCTATATAAATAAACTTTGATTTGATTTAATATGTCAGAGGTATCTTGGTCCCAATGAAAACAGCAGCAAAATAAGTGCCATATCTTTTTTATAATGTCAAATAAACAAATAAATGCTTTCTAAACATGAGCAAACTGTGGCAGCAAGTCATCAGTTATAAATTCAACTAGTCTTAGCCCACCACAGCAATATGCACTTAGGTCTCTTAATCTGACACAATATACAGCTGCAACTTCTCTTGGAAAGCTTTTCATGAGATTTTGTTTGTTTATGGGAATTTTTGACCATTATTCAAGAAGTGCATTACTGAGGTTACACACTGATGTTGGACAAGTTGCCCTGGGTCTCAGTCTCTGGGGACATTAAACCCAAAGGTATTCTATCAGGTTGAGGACAGGACATTTTTACTTGTACTTTATTATCTGAAATCAGTGTAATCCCGTCCAGATGAAGTGACTGACGAATCCCCTTTTTTCCAAGCAGCTCTGGTCCAAAGACTATAACTTCTGTTTTGTCTGCATTCAGAAGGAGAAAGTTAAGAGTCATCCAGGTTTTTATGTCCTCGAGACATGCCTGTAATCTATGTAATGGGTTAGCTTCATCTGGATTTATAGACAGATATAGCTAATTTATCATCAGTGTAACAGAGTCCGACATTGTTTTGGTAACTTTACACACCGAAGCAACACTAATTTTAGTGACCTCCAAACAGCATAAACAGGTGTCATTAGCGCCAGCGTGAATAACAATCTTACTGTATTTAACCTTATCCTTAACCAGCAGTTTCAGGTAGGATATGATGTCGCCCGTTCTTGCCCCTGGCAAACAATTAACTATGGTCCCTGGTGAGAGCAGGAGAGAGGAGAGGAAGAAGGAAGAGTTGGGAAAGAGTCAAGGGAGGGAGGGAGAGAGAAGTCATATCAATGCTAAGATAGCGCTAGCCTAGGCTACCTACTCCTTACTACCAGAAATAAAACCGTGTGAAACTGACACAAGTGCTCATTTGAAAAGTGCAGCAGAAGGCGCTATGGTTTAAAGGGGTTCGGGTAAGTTAGAGTTACTTAGATACAGAGATATCGCAGAAAAGAAAAAACAAAACAAAACTTAATTCAGGCGGAGATAGTCTGGACAACAACATCCTCCTTCAATTCAAACAGGAAATGAATGCAATACATCTCACGAACAGCAGCAGTCTCTCACAAACAGCAGCAGATTTCTTATCTTGGTTTTAAATACAGTATATATCTAAATAACTACAATAATGACTTCCTGTGACAGTTACACTCTATGGCAGTTTATTCATATAGGGCCAATTCACAACACATGTCATCTCAAGGCACTTTACAGTTCACCAGATCATACAGTCAAATTGATTCAAAGTTTTCTATCTAAGGAAAACCAGTTGGTTCCATTGCCTCATTGACTCTATCAGGTTGAGGACAGGACTCTGTGTAGGCAGCACACCATCTATGCAATCTGCCATCCATGTCTTTTTGGACCTTGCTTTGGTCTCTTTTTCTTGTTGGAAAAAGATGGGGCGAGCTCTAAACTGTTTCCACACAGCAAGGAGTCTGGTCTTGTCTTGTCTGTCTTGGTGTGCTCAAGCATTCAGAGCTCCTTTCACTGGAACTAAGAGGCCAAGCCCACCTATTGAAAAATTACCCCACACCACAATACCTCTTCTACCGAACTTTAGACTTAGAACAATGCAGTCAAAGTACTGTTTTCTTGGCAACGTCCAAACCTAGACTAATTCATCATACTTTCAGCTGGAGAAGCATGATTTGTCACTCCAGTTTTGGATTGGTTTACTTCCTACTTAGCTGGTAGGAGCTTCAGTGTGGCAGTCAATGACATGATGTCTGAGCGGGGAGATCTCCAGTATGGTGTTCCACAGGGCTCAGTCCTGGGACCACTTCTCTTCTTACTTTATCTCCTCCCTCTTGGCCAGATTATCCAGCAGCACAGTGATGTGGCATATTATCTTTTTGCTGACGACATACAGCTGTACTGCTCCTTTAAAACCTCAGAGGTCCACAAATTACACTCTCTGATGAACTGTCTGTCCCGGATTCAGCAGTGGTTAAACGACAACTATCTCGCAGTGAATACTAATAAGACTGAGACACTCATTATTGCTCCTGACAGTGCCATCCCTGACATTAAACAACACCTGGGTGATCTATGTTCCTCAGCCAAATCCAGTCTACGTAATCTTGGAGTGATTTTCGATGAGGGGATGTCCCTTGCGCTACACTCAAAACAACTGATCAGGAACTGTTACTTCCATCTGCGCAATATCTCCAAGGTAAGGAAAATCCTCTCTCACGATGATTTGGAGAGAATCATCCATGCCTTCGTCTCTTCAAGACTGGATTACTGTAACAGCCTGTTTACCTGTCTGAGCAAGAGGGAGCTGGGTCGCCTACAAATTGTCCAGAACTCTGCTGCAAGACTCCTGACCCGTACAAATAGGACAGCCCATGTAACTCCTCTCTTGAAGTCCCTACATTGGCTTCCTGTTGCTTTCAGGATAAAGTTTAAAATCCTGGTCCATACCTTCAGGGCCCTTCATGGACAGGCACCTGGCTACATGACAGGTCTGATCCAGCCGTATACGTCGGTCCGTAGCCTAAGGTCTTCAGGTCAAAACCTGCTTATGGTTCCTCGGACCCGTTTTAAAACCCGAGGAGACCGGTCCTTTAAAGCGGTGGCACCCCGTCTTTGGAATGAACTCCCCCTGTCCCTGCGCTCTCTGGACTCGGTGGATATCTTCTAAACACACCTGTTTTCACAAGCCTTCCAAAGC